CAAACATTGCACAAAATCTTCTTGCAGCTACCCTCTGCTTGGTCAAAGCCCACTGCCAGGGTAGCCTGGGCCACACATGCACGGTTCATCATGCTGCAGCTACCGGAGTTTCAGAGAGCAAAACAGGGAATGAGTCAGTGGACCCTCTCCTCTCACCCTGTTATTCCTGTATTTATCATATTTGTCTGACAAACATAAAAGGCATTCAGGCAAACCTCCGGCAGGGTTGTTTTCACCAAGGTTGGCAAACACACAGTGACCACAACAGAGCTCCAGAGCAAACCAGGGGTCGAGGAGCACATGAACCCTGGTTTCTCCCGGTACAGCTGTCTTGCAAGACAGCTGAACAAGAGCTACTGAACGGCCTGCAGAAACCTAGCAGCTCTTAGGACAAACCAGGGCCAAGCCAGTCTCCCCGTTACACCTGCTGAGTACTTTAGGGCACCCAGCTCCCTTCAGAGCAAGGCGAGGAGAGAGGTGTGAGGAGCAAGCCAGAGGCTGTCACACACACCTTCAGCTCAAGGCCAAAACTGCCAGCTTGGGGCCATTACCAAGGTGGGGCATGCTTCCCCACCTATGAACCCGACACATATCCCTCCTTCTCTATCATCCCCTTCCCAATTTAAAAAAAAAAAAAAAAAAAAAAAAGAGTTATTCTTGCCAGTTGGGATTTCAAGTCTCCACAGCACGTAAACTCTTATCCCCCCTCTTCCCCACCACCGAAGTCTGGGCACATCACAGCCTCACCAGCTAGCTGCCCAGTAGAGCAATGGCCCCAGGAGGGGATGGGCAAGTCTCTACTTACTGAGCGGCAGGACAGTGATGGGGATGTTCTTTGGCCGCTTGCTCTCCTTGTCGATGAAGTCCCCTGTCACGGTCTTTTCCCGCTCAGTCACCCGGCAGTTGTACTTGCCACTGTCCTCAAGGCGGAGGCGATAGATCTTCAGCACAAAAACATTGTCGCTTTCTTTGGCTACCTTAAGCTGGCCCAGGGCCTCGCGCTGGGCAAACTCGTTGTTGAGCACCGGCACGGCGTTGGGCCCCAGGCTGGCAATGAGGGAGCTGTTGAAGGCCCAGGAGATGGAGAAGTAGCGGTCAGGGACGTTCTGTGCCTCCAGGATGCACCGAAACTCCACTGGCTCACCCACGATGTACGTCCGCTTCTCCGTCTCCAGCCGGACGCTGAACTCCTTATCTGGGGAGAGACAGACCAACTCATGTCAGCGTGGCAAAGCCCACCGGGACAGGCAGCACACCTCGTGCGAGGTATTTACAGCTCGCCATGCTCTGTGTAGTCAACGCCCCTCGGACACTGGCATCCGCAGGTGGAGGGGCAAAGGGCTGGCTTTTGCTGTGAGAGCCCAGATGGGCTGTGCTGCAGGAGGTGCAGCTTGCTGCCCAGCGTGCCAGAGCTGCAAGCTCCCCAGCCGTAATGCTGCTCCCCAGCCCTACTCCTGGAGTGACACCAGCACCCAGTGGTACTGCGGGATGCAAGCTGGAGCCTAGTCCCACTTGCACCCTGCTCATCTGGGGTCGAGAGGCAGGGCCCTTGGGGATATCAGAGAGGAAGAAAGAGCTCAGCTGGGTCTTTAGATCCTTAGTAGGCACCCATGCTGTGGGCTGGAAGAAGGACTTTGGCTTGCAAATGGACCTCCTGCAATACAGAAGTGCTTGCTGGAAGTTTTTATTTTATTTTCTGCTGTGTCACTGTTATCTCCTCACTTACCAAAATTTTCATTGCCTGTGCTAGCATCAAGTGCTTAAGATGTATGTTTTAGCTCCTGTGTCAGCCCCAGATCACTGGCCATGTCAGGAGACAGAGGCTGCTACCCAAGCCCCCTTGCTGTCCCACTGTCCCCTGGTTGCTATTTGCTGACATCTGTCCTGCCTGCAGGCAGTGCTTGGGCCCTCCTCTGCCCTCCTTTGCCCGGCCAGCAGCCTCCTGAGTGGGGCACCATGGCAAAGGAGGGAGCCAAGCCCCAGCCACCTAACAGGGCGCAGGTCTGTTTTCCACCTCCTCCCACCACCCAGCCAAGCAAGAAAAGGCAGAGGAGACACTGACCGGTGGCTTGCACATTGACGATGGCTCCCTGGGAACGCTTGCGGGTCATGGCGTACCAAGACTTGTCTGGGTCCTGGATCCACTCTGCCGCCTCGCAGTAAAACTCGCCCTGATCTGATGGGTGGAGGTTGTAGATGGTGAGCTTTGAGGTGGTCTCCCCTACTTTGTCCAAGCGAACGTCCCCCGTGGCTTGCCGCTGGGCGTAGGCGCTGCCGGCCCGCAGGACGAAGTCGCGGCTGAGGGAGATGACCTCCACGGGCACCTCGCTGCCTCGCTGCCGGTACCAGGCGATGGAGACGTGGCTGTGCTGGGCCGTGCTCTTGGACACCTCACACTTCAGCTCCAAGGAGTCACGCTCCACTTTGTTCAGTGTCTGCGGGACCGCCGTCACTCGCAGCGAGTCGGGGATCACTGCAGCAAAGGGGGACGGGGAAACATGGCCCGAGAGTTAGCAACGCCGAAACACGGAGTCTAAAGCCCAGACGCGTTAAAAGAGAGCTGGGCGAGAGGTTTCTTTTTACAGTTGTAATTAATCGTTAAGTACTAGCAAAACCCTGTTACCTCACGTCCAGCCCCCAAAAAGAGGAGAACCATCCCCAAAGCCCTTGGCTGGGAAAGACCACGACCTGCGGTGCATGCTCCAGCACTGCGCTTAAATTCCTGCTCAGTGGCACAGGGCTTTCCATCGCGCTGCAGAGCGGCACAGCTTAATACATCCACTTCCCATCGAGGCATTTTGTCACAGGTGGCCTCCCCTTCACCCTGTGCCCCCCAGCATGCTTTGTGACCCATCTCCTGCCCACATCCTTCAGCCACTCCTTAGCCCTGCACCATGGTCTTTGCCCCCCAGACACCAGCGGGGCCAAGCTAAACGGATTTAGCTCCTTTAATCTTCCCTCATAAAAAAGTCAGGAGATTCAATTCCCCTCTCCTTTGTCGATATTGTTTCATGTTTTAATGACCCCCCTCAGGCCAAACGCAGGGGTTTCTGCATTTGGAGGGAAGTGGCTCCTCTGAGGGCAGCGCTGCAACTGCAGCACACCCGGCCCCCGCTGCCGGGACAGAGCCATGTCAAGGCGCTTGCTAATAAAACTGCTAGCTGCTTTTCCAGTTGATTAACTGGAGAAAAGGAAGTACAGCCGCTAAAATCAGGATGAAAAAAAACCTGCAGCCCCCCAACCTTGTTTGATTTTAGCAAGCATCTTCATTTTACCAAGAGGCTCTACCAGCAGAAGATAGACCTTCTTTCTTAAAAGGAAGCCTTTCTAGACTTCGTTGTCTGAAGAAACATCACGTGGAAAGAAGAATGCAAACCTTCTCCCCGGCTCTGCAGACAAGGCAGTGTCAGCGAGCCTGTTAATGCCCATGGTTTTGCTGTATACCGCTGGAATATAATTAACATATCTCAGTTCGGTTTCATTGACAGCACTGGAAGGTTTGACGAAATTAGCTGAGCTGCCAAAAGCTGCATCTGTTTCATTCAGGCACAGCTAGAGAAAGCAATGAGCTGCAGCGAAGACAACCGCTGGGATTATTTATGACAGAAAAGTCAAAAGCAGAAGAAGGGAATGAAAAAAGCCATGAGATGGAGTAAAAGAGGGGGAAATCTTCCCGCGTCCAGCCCGGATGGGATCATTTGCCTCTACCATGCGTTCACTACCCAGGGAATTTACTGCCCCTGACAGGGAAAGTACCCGGTGAGGCCATTTACATTGCAGGTCATTGCCTCTGTCCCTGCAGCCACGTCTCCTCCTCCCACTCTTCCCCTCATCTTCCTTGCTGGGGCTCCCATCCCCTGCTCACGGGCAATAGCTTCTGCCAGACCATGGCCGGGATCCCACCTCGCTTCGCCGTCCCCCCTTCTCTCCGACTTCCAAACCAGTGGTGACAGCAGCAGCTAACCTTGCCGGTTCACACTGTCTGCATGCTAAGACTTAAATTTCTCATTTCAAACATTTCTGAATAATTTCCAGAGCTGTGCATCTCTTTTCTCTTTGCCCTCTAGCCACAGGCTCTTATAACTTTTCTCACGTTATTTACATAAATTAAACTTGATCATCATTTACTTGCCTGCTGATTTGCTTCGAAGGCAGAGCTCCTCCGCACGGCAGCATATGGGGTGAAAGCAGGTATCTGCGAAGAAAGTGTGCCCGTCCTCCTCCCTCCGATTTGAGAGCCCTGCGCACCCCACCACTTGCCTGTGTGCTCCCCTCCCAGCCCCGCTCGGCAGCACGGCCGCTCCCTGGCTAAGCGCAAGGCGGAGAGCAGCGAGCTGCTCACCCTGGGAGCCCCCTGGCTCTGCGGGACAAGCCCGGTCAGCCTCGAGTAGAGGGCAGGCGCTTGGCTTGCCAGGTGCGGAGCTGCCCGCTCCCCGGGAGTAATGCCGGGAAGCCTGTCCGAAGGCTGGGCCCCAAGCAAGCTCTTGCCATGCCATTCCTTGAGCAGGACAGAGGCTGGCACAGGCACCGTTTTGCCAACCAGAACGGTGACTTCCTAGTTCCAGCTCACTACCTGGCCGGAGGGTTAGCATCTTTTACACCACGTGGGCAAGCTATTGCAAAATGCGTTCCTGGAGAAAAATCAGGAGACGGCAGTGTGCTGTTGAAGGCTGTAATTTAATTGTGGTAACGCCTAACACGCTGTGCTGCATTTCTCCTGCTCTTCTGGTTAAAAAAGCCAACCAAGATCCTCCTGGTTAGAAGAATCGGTAAGACCTTTTGTGTTGCACGCAGTCTTGAGGCTGTTGTCTTAAATCAGCCTGTCACGGACGTACACACGGTTGGTATCACCTTCCTAACCAGGAGAGAGACCCGCTCGCCAAGTGAAAGCCCCATTTCCGAAGGATTGGACATTGGGAGGGACAGGCAAGAGCCCTGAGCCGTCTGGGCCAGCGGGAAGGCTCTGTGCTTCACACCACCGCTCTCGCGCTTGGCCAGCGATGCACAACTGTTTTAGTTACACTGCAAGAGGTGCCTCGGGTACCAGATTTGGGGAAGGAGGCAAGTGGGCAGGGGAAAGGGGGAAACACCGTTCTCAAGAGGCAGCCGAAAGTGGCAGCAGGTCACAGCTCATTTCAGAAGCCTGAGGAGCATTTCGTTCTGAGTGCTGCGGAGCGCTGGGGACTCCCGCAGCAGGGCCGCAGGTCTGCTGGGGCTCATGCACCACCCCAAGGCACAGACCCCGCTGGCCTGCGCCGACAAGAGGGCTACAGGCATGGCTTAGACCATCAGGCCAGAGCAGATCAGGCCTGGAAGTCACGGAGAGAAAAGCAAGTAGGGAACGCCGTGACGGTGCTCTCCAGGGCACAACAGCACACGCAGGGAGGTGTGTTATCAGAAGAGAAGTTCCTCCCAGGCCAATAATCCTGCTCAGGCTTCAGGGACACCCATCTGCCGATCAGGACACGAGTAACTCTTTACATGGTGTTCACCCGGGAGCCCTGGCTCCACTGCCAGCCATCCCGCGGCTGAGCTGCCTGCGCTCATCCTGCGGCCACACGCCGCAGGAAGCACCAGTGTTTCTGGGGGCACTCTGCCAGCTGAGCTTCACCTGAAAGCAAGGATGAGCTTAGAGGACAGTTGTCACTCTGTGAAGGGGAGCAGGGCCACACCTGAATCAGAGCTGAGATGGATGCTACAGGACACGTCCGCTTGCCCGTTCTTTCTCACCCAGCTCCTGCCTGTTTCTCCCCTCTTTTCAAGGCAGCCTGCCTTGCGCTTCCCCCAGCGTCCAGCCTTACCTCCTCCTCGTGCCCCAACACCAGTCCACCCCTGCTGCTGTCATGACCCCCCCGGAGGTGTGAGCAGAGCTCCCCTCTCTCCAGCATCAAGGCTGGGTTTGGCAGCGAGCGGCTGGACAGGGAGACGAGCGGCCGCAAAGCACTTGCTGGAAGCAAACCTATTGCACCTCCGCCACCCCTGAGCCAGTCTGCCGAGTCTGGCAGCACTGAGCCTGTACTTACAGCACTGCAGAAAGAGCAAGAAATACAGCATTTCCTATTAGTCCCCAAGCTGCAGGTTACTGCCGAGGGCACTGGAAAAGGTACTCAGGAGTGGGTGGGCTACTAAGCAGAGGGTGCTCAAAAGCACCCCCAAGTTTTGAGAGCTCCTGTAATATTAAATGTACATATTACCACTAGAGGGTGTCAGGGACCCAGCTAGGGAGAGTCCCAGGGCTCTGCCGCCAGGATGGGAGGAGGAAGGGGGAGCCTGGAGATGCTCGTCTCTCCCCCAGGGTGGTGCCCATGGGCATCCCTCCTCAGGAAGCCTGCACACACAGCTCCAGTCAAGCCCACCTCAAATGCACGCACCTCAAGCAACGAGCACTCGGTGAGCTACGTATTTGCAGATTGGGAATTAAAGCTGTTTACTTTAGGATAAGGAATTGGTTTACAGTCTCCCAAAAAACAAGCAGGGAGCAGAGACTGGAGCTTCCAGGTCTGACCTTAGCACACACCTCAGATTCTCCAACGTGCTCTCCTCTGAGCTCCAGAACCAGCTCCATTTCCAGCAGTTCCCAGTACCGTGCTGAACTCTGCCTCAGGCAGACAAAGACAACCCAGGTGTCTTGCTTTTCCCCAGGCTGGCTCTGGTTCATCCTTGGGTACCCCAAACCCCAACCACCTCCAAGGGGTAGGTTATCAAAGCTTTTATGTGCCAGACGCAAACCAGAGAGTGACCAACATTTCACCTCCTCCCAGGCAAGGCAGCAAACCTGCCTGAGATGACGTTTCCTTGTTAAGCGATCCAGGAGGAGCGTCAGGCTGGAAGCCAGAGGCTTCCTAGCTTGAGCTGGCAAAACAACGCTGTGAAAATCACTTAGCACCATGGTAGCCTTACCCTGTAAGCTCTTCAGGAGCAGAACAACTTACACAGGCTACCCAGCACAGCGGGACCATCTCAGGGCCACTGTAGAACAAGTAAAACCCAACAGCCTCTTCTTCCCTTGGATTTCGTTACAGCTTTTACCCAATGATACACTTTAGAGGCACCCTACAGTGCTGTCCTGTGTCCCCAACTGCCCGCTTCATGCTACCTGGACAGAGCTAAGTTTGCCAAGAGTCAAGCGTGAACTATTTAGGAAGAACAAATACATGTACTCCCCACTCCCAGGGAGCTGCTTCTGTCTGAGAAATACCGCTACGGCTTTTGCGGGGAATTAGCGCAAGAGTTATGTTTCCATCTGCCCCGTGACATCTTGTTGCCCCGCAGGGATTCCAGCTCAGCACAAGGAACCTCCTTCCCCAAACCCTTCCGGTTGTGCGTGCCGAGGCAGAAACAAGCTGCTCCGAAGGAACCGCAATGCCGGTGTCACCAGGCCAGAGGCGGGAGCACTGGCAGGCACCGAACGGCACCGCGGGGGTGAACACGAGGATGCAGCCTTTCGTTATTACCCTCTGCAATCTGCTCACC